TGAGAGTGCATAATTTATTATAAAGTCACGAGTCAAATTGGTGGGGGATTGTTAGATAGTTTGTTGATGTTGGTCTAATTAACAAAAAGTTGTGATTAAATAGTTATAAATAATTATTTTATTAAATATAACTTTTTAATAGTTGTATTATGAAAAGTTATTAAATATAATTTTTGAATAGTTGTATTGTGAAAGAAAACAATTATTTAAAGAGCTATATTATGCAAAAAAATAATTCTTTTCATTGAAAGATATATACATTTATTTATTATATAAATAATGTTTTTACATTACTATTTTCACAATTCTAATATTAAGGGCTTTATTGTATCTTTAAGATACAGAAAATACTTCAAAAAAAAATGTTAATTCACGTCTTCAAAGCCATACTTTTTTTTTTCTCAAAATTTCTTTCCTTTCTTTTCAAATATTTCTAACCAGGACTAGATGGTTCTTTCATGATGCTGTATAGATGACGCATTTTACGTTTGAGACTCGTTCTGCATAGTGAGAATGCAAACCAAGCATTTTTCAAACACTGTATTATTACATATCCTTCAAACATGAATTCAGAAAAAGTGCCTTCCAGAAAGTCTTCTGATATATATACATTGCATCTCCTCTGTTGGCATATGTCCAGCTTCAATTTGTCACTTGGCTTGACTTGATGCTTCTGGACCGTGAAGATTGGGCCAGTCTTGGTTAAGAGATTCTGATTACTCCTTGATGATGGCATGCGAGTAGAAAATATAAATAATAAATTCACATCAATCATCTTCAGCTCACAGTTTTGCAGGCTTCGATGGTTTCCATGAGGTTGTTCATTCTGAACTCTATATTGTCGTTTTGTTTCTTTGAAACGTTTGATTTGACTGTTACGTTGTTTGACTGTACTGATTCATTTCATGTTTGGTAAGTACTTGGTTTCTGTAGGAATTATGGTGGTGGGCAAATGATTCGATAACAGTCCGTCATTCCTTGACTGAATATTTGAATGCTTTGAACTGGGTTATCTCTTTTCGTTTTTGTCATTTCCGTTTTAGAAAAGCTCTTTAATCATTTTCCAGGCCTGTTATGGTGTTCAAAGTCCTGAAGCTTCATTGTCAAACCAAAATTCTTTTCCATACGAAAAGAAATGGAAATTAAGTAGCTGTCAGGGTTGAGAGCTACTGATCTCTCCCTCCCTCTGTTTCTTTCATAATCTAATCTTCATTCACAGATCTTCATCATCTAAGTTTTTTTGGCAATATCGATCTCTTTTTCGTCCACCAGAGATTTAACAATATTGATTTATTTAACTTTTCATGATTGATTTTGTACAAAGATCGAATATCTCAAGTTGGGCTTCTTCAACAATTTCACTATTGTTTGAAGATTTCATACTTGAACATGTAGATATTCTCTGTTAGTTGAAATTGCTGTCTGCAAACATTGAGTTCTACCGTTGGTGTATTAATTATTAGTATGTGTTCTAAAGCATTTTTAGGCTGCCAAGTGCCAATGAATTTAAAAATTCTCCTCAGGAGAAAGAGTAAAAAGAAGAAATAAAATTATTAGTTAATTTATATTAATAAAACAAATGTATAATTTAAGTCAGCTTTGGAGGTTTCATACAAGATACATCTTTTGCTCAGTGGCCGGTTTTCTGACTTCCTGAAGCAGCTTATTCTACAGTAACTGGCCGGTATCTGGCCAGTTTATTTCTACAACAAATCAACATGCTTACAAGAGCTGAAGGAAATAAGAAACAATTATGCTTATAATTCAGCAAATGCGACCGTCTTCTTACCGTCATGTGCCTTACGGAAGAAATGTTTGACATAATCTGAATAAAGAACTTGCTTATAAATTGGTTTCTCACCACTTGAAATCAACTCAGGCAAAGGACCGATTATGTCACCAGGTCTTGGATTGACAAATATCGGGACAGAAATTCTGTTCTTACTTCCATTGGCGACCACACGATGTTCAACACTCCTGTACCGGCCTTGCTCATTATTTGCAATGCATCTCCAACATTGATCACAATAGAACTTTTAATTGGAGGAACATGAACCCAGTCATCCCTTGATTGCTTCTTACGAAGAGTCCCCCGATTTCATCTTGAAGAAGAATTGTAAGAGTTGAGACATCAGAGTGACGTCCTACTCCAACTGTGAGTTCAGGATTAGGACATATAGGATAGTAATTAAGGTTAGTCCTCATTGAACCCATCAATAATGATTCTTTCGTTTGATCGATCTCATTCACATTGAGACCCTTCATTAGCACCTGTAATAACTGTTTAATAACAACTTCAGACTTCTTCATGTAATCTAGCACTTGCTCCCTGGAAAAAAACAAAAGGTCCATTAGTATATTTATTAACAATTGTGGATGTCGTCAAGGTGTTGTGTATATGTATATATGAAAGAAAATCTAATTAGTAATTAGACTCTTCATTATACCTGCAGACAGGGGCCATAAGCAGACGCCTCTCTTCAGAGACGTAAAACAAGCTAAGGTAATCTTTCCACTCGAGAGCCTTCTCTGCTTGAGGGCTAAAACTGTGCCAAATCGTACATTATTTGAAGACGAGTGTTCCTTGGAATACTTATTTTTTTCCATGGCCGGTAGCCCAAAGAACTTGTAAGTTGCGTCTTTAACATCTCTAGCACTTCAAGAGGCACATCATGGTTAATAATCTGGAAGAAGCCCCATTTCGAGGCAGCATCACGAATCGATTTGGCCATTTGGGGGTCTTCCAATTTGACATATCAATGATGGGAATGGATTCTTGGGAATGACGTTGGTCATGCACATCCTTTCTTCCAAAGGTTGGATATATTGCTTAGGGAGGGCTCTAAGTCCAATTCGGACAAGCCCTTCACTCCATTACCTTGGTTAATAACGAAATCAGTGAGAGCTGAAGAATCACTGAATGGTTCTGCAAGTGAAGGGGCCATTAGTTTGAGTAATTTGAGTTGAAAGGTGTTGTTTCTGGAAGAGGATAGAGCTTTGGAAGAAGGCAGTGGTGCTCTGGTGCAGCCTGCTTTCGACGCACAGCTATTTATATACCAGTTGCGTGGGCATGGCAACAATGACTTCGGTATTTTGTACAATATTGTGGTAATATCAGGGAAAATGTTTGCCTCACCAACCCAATATAGTGGAGAGAGACCTTTCAACTTTCGAGAGCCAAAGGATTAATTCCTTGGACGGCCCCTGTCACCTAAAGCAAACATGTGCATCGTATGTTGCATTAGCTGACATTAAGAGCTGTAAAATACTCCTTTGACTCTTTCAAGTCCTTTCTATCACTCTCCTCCTCTACACCAATCATATCCTAGATTAATCTGCCAACCTTTTGAGCTTCATCGTTGCATTACCTCGATGAGTCCAAAATGATAGGCCGATCGAGGTACATTGGCTGTATTCCACGGTTTGGATTTCCTTTCAGCCCTTCGATAGACTAAAGCGCGTTCATCGTACTTTCGTCTCTCTTTTAGTTTTGCAATTTGCATGAAGACTTTCCCTTTCATTTCCTTGCTTAGGTGTTTTCTCTTTTCTTGAGTCAAAACCAATAACCGTGGCAACAACACTTCAAATCTTTTTGAAAGCTGTAACAAGTTCACCAACCCCACCTCAATCTCCATTGTAATTTTATCTAAAGCTTTGATTTTTCTCAGACCGTCTATATTTCCTTCCAACTCTAATTAACTTTTTAAATCCTATCTTTTAGTTGTCTAAACCTAAAAATTTAGTGAAGAAGCATTATTTTCAATCCTAAATTGCCTTTGATGAATGCTATTGTCAAGTTGAAATGACTATATACAGTATAGACAAAGAGTTGGTAAATGAAGACTTTGTTGTACTCATAATCACCAAAGATTGAACAGAATTAAGTTTGAGATTGAATTGTGAATGAGCAAACAGCAATAAAATCAAAAAGGGTGGTATGATATGGTATATGTGTGCGCCTACCGACCTCTATGTTGGCTGATTAATTGTTAGAAGTTGTCTTAGAAAATGCTTTGGCTTTGACCATTTAATATGGAAAAGTAGTTTCCCTTCCACCACTAGTAAATGAATTTTGACCTTTAAAAAACTATTCACCCTCTAATCCAAAATAGTACTTGTCATGCCTATAATTGCTATTTACCACTTTGTAATTATAGGAAAAAGAATGAAACAAATATTCAAAAAACTCAAACACCACCAAGCCCAAACTCAACTTTTAATTTAAATTGAAATATAAATAGCTTATATTACGTAATACAATATATTATATTAATTAAAGCATGCATTTGCTTAGCTAACTGCACAAAGACAAATTTTCGTCCTTTTCATGGTCCAATTGGGGATTAATGCTTCAAGATTTTCTTTGTCGATATCGAAAATTGATTATGCTTTGATTATGACAATTAAATCAATTTAAAATAAACTTGTCAGCCAAATACCATGTTATGCACGTGGGAAGCTAATAACTTTTCTAAACTAATCAACAAGAATTAAATATAGATAATTAAATAATACAAATGAGGCTGCTAGCTGTACCCACATTTGAAGAAGATAGATAGATAATTACCGAAGCGAACGCATCTTTCCTTCTTGGAATTTAAGGGCGCTGGGATCAGGTTAATTTAATCTGCTCCTCCCCTGCTTTCTAACATGAACAACACTAGATTGCATTACTATATTACATATTTTTTATAATTAACCTAGACTTCATATTAATAACATCTTTGACATATAGTGTAGTTATACACTTTTTCTTTCATATGTTCAGAAATTTTCTTTTATATATGTACATATCAACCAAAGGGAAAAACATCCAAAGCAAGTCGCCATTTTATGTAACGTATTGCCAGTAAATTGAAAAATTGTTCACCAGGAGAAAGTGGAAAAAAAGAATAATTTCAATAAGCTTTTTTGGTTGAATACAATACATCTTTTGCACATTATGGCTTGTTTATAATATCCTGAAGCATATTACAATCATTTTTATGCTTGCAGGTTTATTCTTATCTGCCGTTTTCCTCAGCAAATTAAACTTACAGTAAATTAATGAAGGAAAAAGAATGATTGTTTACAACTCAGCAAATGCAACCGTCTTCTTCCCGTCATGTGCCTTACGGAAGAAATGTTTCACGTAATCTGAATACAAAACTTGCTTATAAATTGGTTTCTCACCGCTTTCAATCAATTCAGGTAAAGGACCGATCATATCACTAGGCCTTGGATTGACAAAAATCGGGACAGAAATTCTGTTCTTACTTCCATTGGCGACCACACGATGTTCAACACTCCTGTACCGGCCATTGCTCAATATTTGCAATGCATCTCCAACATTGATCACAATAGAACCTTTAATTGGAGGAACATGAATCCAGTTATCACCCTGATTACCTCTTACAAAGAGTCCCCCGATTTCATCTTGAAGAAGAATTGTAAGAGTTGAGACATCGGAGTGACGCCCTACTCCAACTGTGAGTTCTGGATTAGGACAGATAGGATAGTAATTAAGGTTAGTCCTCACTGAACCCATCAATAATGATTCTTTTGTTTGATCGATCTCATTCACGTTGAGACCCTTCATTAGCACCTGTAATAACTGTTTAATAACAACTTCAGACTTCCTCATGTAATCTAGTACTTGTTCCCTGAAAAAAAAAGAAAAAAGATCCATTAGTATATTTGTTAACAATTGTGCATGTCATCTGGATGCTGTATATATGCATATATAATATATGCAAGAAAATCTAATAAGCAATTAGACTCTTCATTATACCTGCAAGCAGGAGGCCACAATGCAGACGCCTCTTCTTCGGAGACGTAAAACAAGCTAAGGTAATCTTTCCACTCGAGAGCTTTTTCCGCTTGAGGGCTAAAACTTGTGCCAAAGCGTACATTATTTGAAGACGAGTGTTCCTTGGAATACTTATTTTTTTCCACAGCCGGTAGCCCAAAGAACTTGTAAGTTGCGTCTTTAACATTCTCTAGCACTTCAAGAGGCACATCATGGTTAATAATCTGGAAGAAGCCCCATTTCGAGGCAGCATCACGAATCGATTTGGCCACTTGGGGGTCTTCCCAATTTGACATATCAATGATGGGAATGGATTCTTGGGGAATGATGTTGGTCATGCACATCCTTTCTTCCAAAGGTTGGATATATGGCTTAGGGAGGGCCCTAAGTCCCAATTCGGACAAGCCCTTCACTCCATTACCTTTGTTAATAACGAAATCAGTGAGAGCTGAAGAATCACTGAATGGTTCTGCAAGTGATGGAGCCATTAGTTTGAGTAATTTGAGCTAGAAAGGTGTTGTTTTTGGAAGTGGATAGAGCTTTGGAAGAGTGTTACAAATAACAAGCGAAGGCAGTGGTGCGGCCCTCTTCGATGCACTGCTATTTATATACCAGTTGTCTGGGCACGCCACCAATGACTTTGGTGTCTTGTATATTGTAGTAATATCAAGGAAAATGTTTGCCTCACCAACCCAATATAGCGGAGAGTAATAAAGAGGACTTTCAACCGTCAAAAGCCAAAGGATTACTTTGACGGCTCCTATCACCTAAAGCAACATGTGCACGGTATGTGACACTAGGAGTTGTAAACTAATTCTTAGACTCTTTCAAGCCCTTTCTATAACTCTTCTCCTTAACGCCTAACTCATCCTAGATTAATCTGCCTGCCTTTTGAGCCTCATCGCCTGCGTTGCCTCGATGAGTCCAAAATGGTAGGCCGATCGAGGTACATTGGTATACTCCACGGTTTGGATTTCCTTTCAGCCGGTCCACAGAGTAATCATCAAAGCACGTTCCCAGTACTTTCGTCTCTCTTTTGCAATTTGCATGAAGACTTTCGCTTTCTTTGCCTTTCTTAGGTGTTTTCTCTTTTCTTAAGTTAAAACCAATAACCACGGTAACAACAAATCAAATCTTTTTGAAAAACCCTCTATCTCCATTGTAATTTTATCTAAAGCTTTGGTTTTTCTCAGACCATCTATATTTCCTTCAACTCTAATTAATTTTTTAAATCCTATTTTCTTTTAGTTGTCTAAACATATAAATTTGGTGAAGAAGCATTAATTTCAATCCTAAATCGAATTCGATGACTGATATTTTCAAGTTGAATTGACTATATATGGTATAGATAAAGGGTTGGTAAGGAAGACTTTGTTGTACTCATGATCAATTTTACAAAGATATTATTATGGCCTCGATTAATTACAATAAATTCAAAGCGAAGATTGAATAGAATTAAGTTTGGGATTGCAATGTGAATGAGCAAATAGCAATACAATAAAAAAGGGTGGAATGGTGTATGTGTGCACTCACCGGTTTCTATATTGGCTGATCCAGTTGTTAGAAGTTATCTTACAAAATGTTTTCGCCTTGACCACTAGTAAATGGATTTTGACCTTTAAAGAAATATTTACCCTCTAATCCAAAATAGTACCGATCATATCATGCCTATAATTACTATTTACCACATTGTAGTTATTTAGCATTAACAGAGTATAGAAACAAGAATTAAGCAAATATTCAAATAAATCTACACCACCAAGTCCAAAATCAACTTTTAATTTAATTGAAATATATATAGCTAATTATATTAGGTAATATAATATATTAATTAAAGTATGCATTCGTCTAGCTAACTGCACAAAGACAAAGATGCACTCTTAATTAATTTTTATAATTACTATTATATTTTTTTGAAATGGAGTACCTATTTCGAAAATTAATAAACTTTCGTGTGATTTCGATTAAAATTTAAAAAATAATAGTTGATTATAAAGATGAAATTATATCATACCAAATAAACAGCAATCCTCTCAAATGTCAAAAAAAAAAAATCTTTTCGATCAGGTGTTTTATTTATTTATATTTTGCAATATTAAGAAGTGGACTGTTAGTTAGCTTAGGTCCAGCGGTCGGTGGCTTGGATAGTTGGGTTTATCCAAGTGACCCACTTAGAAATCTAACATTTGCCATGGCCCATAACTTATCAACGTTTATTTTTTAACCCAATAAAAAAGGCCCAAACACAATAAAACCAAATTTGAGAAAAGGCCGAAAACCCAGATCCCAAAAACCGAAACCAACCCAATTTCCTTCCACCACCCTTCCAACAAATTGTTGCAGGTAACACCAAATCCCTCAAATGGCATAAAACGTTTGGAGCTGCTCTTCACAATCTCAAACAGAAATTTGATTAACCAGTGGATGATTTTTGGCTCAATTCAACCTATTTAGAATCAACTGACTCAGGATAAAATAAAAATTATTGTTTATTGCTGATATGATCATTAGAAGATCATAGGTTCCTACTTGCAAGAACTATATTTTTCTATTACTTATTTTCGCTTTTTCTTTTTTTTTTCTTTTAATCATTGTTTAACTTGAATAGATAACTTTTTTATTTGATAATTAAACTAATCTCATGATAACTAGTAAAAGGGCAATGTATGTTAAAGAATGACATCATTCTATTGATGCTTAATTATAAACACCCTATATTTGTTGAATTTTTTTCGTCAATTTGATTATGTTTTTTTTAAAAAATATTTTGACGAAATAATGTCAACATGTTCATATTTAAGTTGAATGTTGACTTTGCATTTAATGATTCTATTAAAAATCAATTGATTTTGAAGCAGAGAGTTTCTTATGGTTAGAAACTGAGCAAATATGAGGACATTATTATACTTTGTATATATGTGGAAACTAATATTATACTTGTGTATATATATGTGAGAACATATATTACAATATTTTTTGATTAATTCTTAAAAAATTTGATTTGTTTGTCAATAAATTATTCTCATCTCAATGACCAAAAAGTAAGTAATTTTGAAATTATGAGATTTCAACGTGAGTTTAGTTTAATTTTATCTAATTACAATACTAGTAATTAATAGCGTAGAGTTACAAGTTAACCAATAAACTTTTTTTAAAAAAATAAATAAATTTCTCCTTTCTTTCTTGACTGTCTTCTTTAAATATAAAAGAATAATTTAATTCCATGCCCACTTGACAACTTTATTCCAAGCTAGCTGATAGTGATAAAATGGGACATTATCAAGCAGCCTTATTGGGTAATAGGAGAAAAGCAAATAATGCACAACCACTGGCATACTCTCTTCATAAAATAAGAATTTCATTGGAGACGCAGAAAAGTTGGTAATGCAATTGATCACTATTTGGATATATTTAAGAATAAACCATGATATACACGTGGAAGCAGTCACCAACATTAGATAATTGAACTGGATTTTTGGTGCTAGTTTTTTTGGAATGAATTCTCCAAGGTAAGTTTATGCTGAAATTAAGTTGGGAATGATATGAATTATGAAAATGGAGGACAATTGAGCCAAGCCAAAGCTGAAATATGGGCAAAGTGCACTAACAGCTGCAGGGTAGAAACGTACCTGGAGAAGATGAATAAGTTTGATAGGTTTTTAATTGTTTTAATACTAAGTGGTATTGGAGCTCCGTGTCTAACAGCAAGGGAGCCTGAGTATCCAATTGGGTACTTGTCAACTGGGTAATTGTATAAGTAGCTAACAGGTGAGTGGGTGTGTCTATTTCGAAATTATACTTTATCATACAAGCATTAAAGCATGACTTATATACCTAATGGTATATTTGAGAAGCATGGGTGTACTGAGGTTGATTTTACAGTTTATTGAGATTTATAAGACTTGGTTAATTATAAAAAAAGGCCCTATGATTTTATAAGCCATGAGATGACTTTGACTGAAAGCATTTGGATTTTCAATGCTGGTTTGCAATGCTTTGAAAGCAAGAGGGGAAATTTTCTGGTTTCATTTCATGGAACACTGTTTTGACACTAAGATGCCTTGAAATTTATTCTGGTCAAGGGTAGACCTTGGACCCTAGTTTAAAAAGGAAACAAGGCTTTTAAAATGGTTCTTAAACAGGTTTTATCTGGTGCTTTCATATATGTTGTCAGCATGCGATGTTCTTAAGTTTATCTCATAATTAGTCAAGTATCAGCTTTAAAATGCATCATGTCATGAGCTTAATTAAAGTTGATTATTTAGATTTGTCATTTATCAAACTTTCAGTCTTTATGCGTGTTTCCGATCTTCACTCACTCACTGACTGAGTCTGTGAGACTTACTCCAATTAATTGATGTGCAGGTATATAAGTTGTTAAGGCTTCCATTTGATGAGCGAGTGGCTGTTTTACTCGGTTGGTATGATGGCATCCGATAGCTCTTCTTTCTTCCCGTGTCAACTCCGTTGGTCAAGCGTTATTATGTGTGGCTAATTTATGCTGGTTCTGTAGGGCCGAGGCTCCCTATTGTAGCCAATATATAGAAAAAAATTGTTTAAATATGGTAAATTTTTGCTTTAAATTACACATAGTGCTGTATTGTGATTATGCCTTGAATATAGGCTATGTTCATGTGGGACACAGATGTAACTTAAAAGTTAATGTCTGTATTCAATTGATGTGCTTGTTGGGTCCTGTGGGTATGCCTGCAAGGCTCATGCACTGTTAAACGTCACTACGTGATATAAAAAATAAAAAATAATATTTTAAGTAATAATAACTAATAAATCATTAATTATGAAGACAAAAATTTGACATTTTTTGTTATCCCCTGCTTCTTTAACTTGGCCAACACCCAGCTGTATCTATCATGCATCTTTTTCAAGCCATGGGTTTAAAACATTTGCTAGGGCGTGTCATGCTGCGAAGTTTTGTTGTATGATACTAACATATTTCCTTTTTATATACATTTGAAGAAGTCCAAAAGCACAAGATGAGATTTCAAACTTATTACTGTCTATATTATATGAGCTTTTTACTTGATTATAATGTATCCAAATTCGATATTTTCTTTAACATAATAAAATTAATATGAGTATAATGTCTGGATATTCAATACTAAAATGCAAAGTGAGAAAGTTAATAGAGCGTTTGCAAAGAATGTGGTTTCGCGATTTTGAACGTGATGAGATTGCTTGTATCAATATGCTTGCAAGATGTGGCAAGGGTGTCAATTATCTGCTATTGTTGTGCGATTTGTATGGTCCTGCTCAGTGTCAGCTGGGAAGTGTGTATATCTTGGGGTCTGTATATTATGTACAAGGAAGCCTTGTTGCTGTAAGTTTCTTTCTTGTATAGAGAGAACTTGGTTTAACCGTTGGAAGTTGATGACTTCCCTTTTGTATATAGGGTGAAGTGTTTTTTATCCTACTGCTTCACCTTGTAGTACATAACACTTTTGATTAATACAAGCTGCATTTCAAAAAAAAAAATGTGGCAAGTGTGGGGATGTTGAAACTGGACGTTAATGTTTAATAATGTAATCAATGGATTTTAACTAAACTTTCAATTTTGGTCTGTGCACCAATCTTAC